CTGGCATAAGTAGACATAGAAACAACCATAAATGACTTTTGGTAAGTTGAACATGTAATCTCAATAGAAATACACCTGGCATAAGTAGACATAGAAACAACCATAAATGACTTTTGGTACATGTACCACTTGATAGTGGGAGCTTGAGCATGTGAGTTTTAGAGTAGATGTGTAACAAGTGTTTGCACATATTAGTCAGAAGTTTATGGAGAGGATTAGATAACCTTCTAATATAGTTAACTTTAGATGTAGTTATTTTTGATACGTATTTAGTAAAAGAACTAAGAATTGTAATTGTACTAGTCAGGGTTCTTCAAAGACACAAAACCAATAGGATATATGTAGAGAGATTTGAGCTGAGATTTATTAGGGTAATTGTCTCACATAATTATGGAAGAAGACCCATGCAGGATGTATATAAGCTGGCGGTGCAGGGATAGCATGGCTCCCGGGGTGAGTGGGGGTGGCGCTGATATATGTTCTGGAGTCCAAAAGCTGAAGAGCCTGGTTTTTTTTTTAATGTTCTGCAGCAGGAAAAGAGTGTATCCCAGCTCCAGGAAAGAGATCAATTCACCTTTCCTCTGTTTTTGTTCTGTCCCTATCCAACTGGATATTGTAGCCCACACTGAAGGGCAAATCTTCCCTACTTAGTACACTCTAGCTCACCTGCCAGTCTCCTATGGAAACATCTTCACATCCACATTCCAAAATAATCATTTACCAGTTCTTTAGACATTTCTTAATCCAGTCAAATGGACACATAATATTTTAATTTTTTTTTCCAAACTCTTTTTTACCAAAGAATTACTCTTATATTTAGAAGCATTCTAAAATATAAACTTCAACATAAATATATAAGACTTTTGGTGATGCTAATATATAATATTCTGTTCCGTACTGTATACATGCTATGCAGAACATGATTTGTGTGTAGTACATACTATAAAGTATATAAATATATATTTGAATTATTTTAAATTGCTTCTTCCCCTTTTACTTACTAAAGCAGTGTAGATGTGCAGTTAATTTCAATCTATTCATGGCCATGGAATCTGAATTAAGTTTTTTCTTTTTTTTAAGAGAGAGTGAGAGAGAGAATTTTTTAATATTTATTTTTTAGTTTTCGGCGGACACAACATTTTTGTTTGTATGTGGTGCTGAGGATCGAACCCGGGCCGCACGCATGCCAGGCAAGCGCGCTACCGCTTGAGCCACATCCCCAGCCCTGAATTAAGTTTTTTTTAGTCATTTTTTCAGTGTATTTCTAATGATCATTTAGAGAGCCTAGAAAATATAACCATCTAAGGAATGAAAATATATCACTAATTTTTAACCGCCTAGAATTAACTTCTTTGTAAATATTCTTGTTTATATCTAAACCCTTCAATTGCTCAGAGGAAATTAACTGTGTCACTATTCAGCACTGCTTATGGTTATAACTGTGCTCAGTTCAAAAAACAAGACAAAATACTGTCAAGAAAATATATTTCTTGACATTATGGTTTCTCTTCAAAATCTGCATTTTTAAACCATATACAGTAGTTAATATGTGAAAGTAATGATACAACACTATTTTTTTAACTGTTCTACTAAAAAACACCAAAATGTTCAGTGTCACAATCAGTAGACAACTCCTAGATAGAAAGGTAAGAATCACATCAAAGATGATTTAAATTGATTGTATTTAACTCTACCATTCCAGATATGAAGTCTCTGGATATTTAGAGTTGACTGCAGTTATTTCATTATCTCCAGAGAAATTAATCAGCAACACACATAGGATTTATGAGCTACATGATGAGAGGAAAAGAACCACTCTAATTTTAGAAGTTCATTTATATTTTGCTTCCTTGCATTTGAGTGGCTGGCTATCTTAGCCAACTCCCTACAAGTCTTTTCATTTTCCCTTTTCTCCCTCCTTCAACCATGGGTTTCTCAGTTTAAAAGCTTCAGAGACTGTCATCCAAATAGGTTACCTCCCATAGGCTTTATGCTTCTCATATAGCACTATTATCAGTAGGCAGTTTTGTAGAAGCTGAGTTGGAAACACAAAGTGCGTATATGAAGAAATAAAGACAGGTAAATCTCTCCTTACATTTCTTTTTGCTACTCCACCATCTGTTTTTCCTATTTCCCATATAATAGTCTCACTGATTTTAGCTTAATCACTTTCTGATATAAGTTTTTGACTATTTAGATTAGGATTGGCAAACTTCTGCTCTATGTCTGTTTTGTTGAAAGACTGCAATGGACCAGTTGTATCCCTACAAAATTCATACTTGAAATCCTAATCCTCCAGTGTGTTGATATTAGGAGATTGTGCCTTTGGGAGATAATTATATCATGAAAATGGAACCCTCACAAATAGAGTACTGCCTCTATAAAAATTTGGGACTTTAGAGAGCTCTCTCACTACTGTGAGCACTTGACACATTGACAAGTCTCCAACCTAGATGGCATCACCAGAACTTCACCAACCTGATTCCCTGATCTAGACTTGAAGTTTCCAAAACAGAGAGAAATAAATTTCAGTTGTTTATAAGACATTCAGTCTGTGGTACTTTCTTTATAGCATCTGGAACTAATAGCTACATTCATTCATTTATGTGTTTTCTACACTTGCTTTTTGGTGCAACAGCAGTCAGATAGTTGCAGCAGAAACCTTATGACCTGCAGTATTTGAAATATTTTTGATCTGGCCCTTTACAGGAAAAGTTTGCCAACTCACGATTTAACAAGTAAAAGAGAAACTAGAAATTTCTCATTTCATTATAGTAGCACTTTAACATGCTATTTCATGTTAAAATTCCTCATAGCAACATTGTAGAACATGAATGTTAGTATTTCATACATCTAAAATGTATTTAATGATGTTTTACATTGGTTTGGGAAGTAACATAGCATTTAGGGGGAAACATGTTCTATCTTTCAGAAACTATGTTATGAAGAAGCTTTGACATCCATTATTTGGGTTTCTTAGTAATTAATTATTTAAAGAAGAAGGTGGTGAGGAAAGTAGAAGAGTTGTTTCATTTTGATTGGTGTTGACAATGATAACATCTTAATTTGACAAACATTTGACCTGATGTTGGTTTGTCAAGACCCGTCAGTTTTGAAATAGTGTGCATAGGTTTTATATTGTTGTCAGTTTTCTTTGTTTTATGTGAAATACATTAAAGAGAGATCTGTCTTATTCATTGATGTATTCTTAGTACCTAAGTAGTACCTTGTCATAACAGGCATTTAGTTAATACTTGTGGAATGAATGGACTCAGATATAATATTTCATTTTTGTAACAAGTTTATGGTTTTATAAAAGGGTCTGTGATCATTTTGTATCCAGAAAATAGGCAGTAGTTGAAAGATAAAAAAAAAAAAAACATTTGTAAGGAATGTATCTCCTCTTAACTATTAGTTCTGTGAGATCATTAGAAATGAGTAACCATATTATCACTTTAGTAAAAGGTTTTGTTTGGTGCTTGACAGTGTTGTGTTAAATTGATGTGAAATGTTTAGGTTATATATGTCTACTAGATGAGTTGCACACTGCCTTTAATAACTCTTTTTGTTGGTACCAGGGATTAAACCACTGAGTCACATGCCCAGCCATTTTTTATTTTTTATTTTGAAATGGGGTCTTATAAGTTGCTTAGGGCCTAGCTAAGGCTAGATTTGAAGTTGTGATCCTCTTGCCTCAGCCTCCAAAGCCTCTGGGATTACAGACATGTGCCACCGTGCCTGGCTCTTTAATGATTCTTAATCTTGCCTTTGCAAACTACCATAGGTCTTAAATTACCTTAAGCGTTGTTTTAAAATATTATCAACTTCTCAAATATAATTGAATTATTTAACATCATTGGCTTACTTATAATTTTCTCCCTCAATTTTTCAAACAGATAAAACTTATATCAAAATGGTATTACAAAATACTAACATTTACCTGTTCATGATCTCTTATAATTGTATTTAATGGAATCTGTTCTCATTCAATGATAGGCTTTCATTCTACTTTTTGCTTCTTAACATACCTGGTAATTTTCAGGTGAAGGCAAAACATTATAAAG